AGTTAACACGAACCATACATAGTGAACATACTCCAGTGTAATTAGCGAAACGTTACAAAATATATTTGTGGGCGTTTCTTAATATCTTTTTCACCTCTAAGAGGTACTTAGTCTAAAGCAACACATTAGATAACACTGAAGTTTTTTTCGAGTCAGCTAATACCCTGAAAGGTACTGCAAAAGCTCCCACTGTAGACCTTTTGAGACTGAACACCCCAAGAGGTGACAAAACCGCTTTTTTAGCCCCAAAAAGATACGACGAGCAACCTCATCCTTTTTATGTAGGGGGTTCCCCCGGGTAGCTAACTAAAGGTACCGCAAAAGCTCCCACTGTGGACCTTTTGAGGCTCAACACCCTACGAGGTACCAAATTCGCTTTTTTAATTAACCCCTTAACGGTACAGCAAGCAACCCCGTCCTTTTTATATAGGGGGTTTCCGCTAGGGAGCTAATTAAAGTTACCCTTGTCCTAACTTTAGTTAAGAGCCTTAATGTTACCACAGCCATTGTCTTTTGATAAGTATGGAGCATGCTATTACCCTCCTTTATTAATTTGCGATAAAAGAAAGTCTTCGACAGGTTTGGCGAGATACGGGTTTTGGCTTTTTTTTCGTCGTAATATTAGGGATATTCAGTTGAAAACAGGGGCGGGAGCGGGATACGGGAATTCAATTCTTACGTGACCTCATAAATTGACCAGCGCAAAAACCGCAAGCTGGCAGAAACGAAACCTTTGTGCGTATAGCTGTTTCAGGTTTCAAGTTAGGAATAGCAACGGCTCTGTACCCTGTCAGTTTCTGTCAAACGTGTTCATTATCGCTAGACAACATTAGTATCATGAGACTGTATGAGGTCTTTGAGTCCTGTTGCAAGCATTTGTGTTGGCCTCTGACATAATGACATCTGTCCATTTTCGACGCTTGGGTTTGTAATCTTGACCCTCGATCCTTTCTAGTTTTTCTAATCTTTTAACCTTTTGCAGAGCGCCTGGCTTGTTTTGGCCAGTATGGCCACACTGGATGGCGGTGATAGTGATTTACCGAACGAAGTATGCGACACTATAAATAATTGCGTCACCACATATTACGAAAAGGATGTGCTAGCTGGAATGCCTTCATTCAGAAAGAAAAGTTCTGAGCTCAGATTTCAACGAAAGTGAAGACGCCGAAAGCTTTGAAAGAAACTATCAGGTGTGTTTACGGGCCATCTCCTGAATATGGGAATGAACAGTCTTTTTCTTTCACTGATACGTGGACAAAAGAAAGCAAAACAGTAAACCGCTTCCAGAAAGAAATGTTACAATCATTTGCGTTTACTTATCTGCTACCCATTGAATCCTTAAGTGATTTTTTATGCGATATCTATATTGAAAAAGTTTCTGTGTTAATTATTAGGATAATTAGTAATTCAACAAATTGATAATTAACGCAGAAACGACTTTGAAAAGTGGGCGGGATCGAGATTTTCAGGCAAAAAAGGGACGGGATGACGGGATTAACAGGAACAAATAGGCGGGAAAGCGGGGTCTGAGAACCCTATTGTAGACCCTCATAGAACAAGTGGACAAAAAAGTAGAGAAATCAAAGAAATATCAGGTGAAAACAATAACGACTCACTCACAGGTTCAAAATCAGTTGAACAGACCGGCAATTTTGATCTCTTGACATACTTTCCTGTCCTTTTTTTTCCCAAAAGATTATCGTTTTGTCTATACCATATTCTTATCCAATATCTGTGTATTTAGTGGAATTGTCGATGAAATGTGAAAACTGGGGGAGAAAATGTTTGATAATCAGAAA